AGACAGCAATACACATCTACCTTCCATAAAATAAACAAACTAATACAGAAACACACAATACCATTACCAATAGAAAAAAAAATCTACCTCATACAAATCCAACTTAACTGATAGACGTTATCGGTTCTTATCAGTCCTGGAGACATTAATAAAAAAAAAAAAGTCTACATATGTATACAGCTTACCTCTCCATACAACCAAGCAGAGAAGTGATCTACGGCCCAGCTTATGAAGCACACCATAGAGGACAGACAGCCCAACAGTATAGTTAAGAGGGAAATTTGTATGGCTGGGTATGACATGGGTGTCTTAGAATAATGATATGATTGAAAAGAAAAGGCCAGGGGGAAAAAGGCCACACATTTAACAACTTTTCTTCAAACAATAAAAGAAAAGAAAAGTTTTAAAAAATGGACAGAGGAGAAGAAAGAAAAAATATCTAAATATTCGGGAGCATTTCTGATTATACAGAGTGCTGGAGAGAAAAAAAATGTATATATATATAAATAAATAAAACAAATAATAATGATAGTAATTAAAAAGAATAATAATAAGAAAAAGAAAAGGTCTCGATGTTTTCTAGAGAACTTTATAAAAAATATTGAGTTCACAAAATTTCAATAAATTACCAACAGGGAAAAAATAGTTAAAATCAATTCTACTGTTATTTGGGTAAGTTGGTTCATGAAAAATACAATGTTCAAAATTATTATACTTCAATTAATTCATTAAAATGTTAATACTATTACTAATGTTGATGGTGATTTTGATGATGGTAAAAAAGAAATAACAATAAAAATGAGTATTAAGGACACTACTAAACATTTTCATAAAAAAAAATAATAATAACAACAATAACAATAACAACAACAACAACAATAATAATAATAACAATAATAATAATAATGATAATAATAATAATAAATTACCAACAGTAATTTATGAAACAAGGTAACAACAATAATCGAACAATAATAATAATAATACTATTATCATTATAATAATAATAATAATAATAATAATAATAATAATAATAATAACAATAATAAAAATAATAATAACAATAATAATAATAATTATAATAATAACAATAATAATTGTAATAAAAAAAGTGTTAAGAATGATGATGACAATGATGATAATAAGTATAATGTTGATAATAATAATAATGATACTGATAATGATGATGATGATGATGATAACAATAACAACAATAATAATAATAATAATAATAATAATAACAATAATAATAATAACAATATCATTGTTCTTAATATCCTTATCATTATTATTATTATTATCATCATCATTATTAGTATCGTTATCATTGCCCATTGCCGACGGGCATGCCATGCCCACTGTGAGATTACTTGTTAGACTGTTTCCACACATAGATGGCTACACTTGTACTAACTCCCCAATGAGCCAACTACGAGTACCGCCTGTCTTGCCCGTTTACCTTTTTCTTTGATTTACGAAATATTTTACGTTATCTTATTTTGCTGTTACTAATGTTAAAAAACATTATAATAATTATAATGTTTATAATAAAAATAACACCATTGATATTCATGGCACTAGTGAAAGATACGTTTTTCCCGCCATTTCAAATCAGGCGCTAGCTGAGCCATCTATCACAGAGGACAAAAAAATATAGAAAATAGGCACAGCATTTTCCCCATTTTTTGTTCATTTTCCCCAGCGGCAATGGGTTAATAACAATAATGATAATGATAACTGTGATGAAGATAATTCTAGTAATAATAACAACAATAAACAATAATAATAATATCAATAATAGTAGTAATTCTCTCACTACTACTATTAGTAATAATGATAAAATAATGAAATGATAAAATAAATAGTAAAATAATAATAATAATAATAATAATAATGATAGTGATAACCATAATAATACTGATGATGATGATGATAATCATAATAATATCAATAATAATAATAATAATAATAATAATAATAAATAATGATACTGCTGTTTATAAGAATAGCAAAAATAATAATAACAACAATAACAACAAGAGAACAACAATAATATAACAATAAAAATAACTGACTATAATATTAATAACAAAAAGTTTTATATTAATAGTTATCAATGATCATAATGATGATAACAGTAACCATGATCATCATAAATATTAATAATCAAAATAAAAAATAATTATGAAGATGATGATAATGACAATCATAACAATATTAATAGTTGTAAATATTAACAATAATAATAGTAATAATAATAACAACAACAACAATAACAAAAAAAATAATGATAATGATAATGATAATAATTTAAAAAATATAAAAATAATAATAAACGTATCAATAATAATTATGATAATACAATAATAATCATACTGATAACAACAACAATAAAAATATTAATAATAATAATAATAATAATAATAATAATAATAATAATAATAATAATAACAATAATAATATCAATAATAATAATAACAACAATAACAATAATAATAAT